CAAATGGCTATCCCCGTGTCAAGTGAGATATGGAATCCGTACCTTAACCGAATTTGACAATTAACGCACAATCAAACGAAAATTCACGATCAAGTTTGATTTATCCGCGTGCCTAACGAATGCATAACCGGTTACTATTTACATGCTATAATATACTTAAACATACTAAACAGTAAAACAAATCTAACGGTCGTTAACTCAAGCTTAATCATGCATTTTTACTCCTTTCGACATTAACCGAACAATTGGTGTACGGTTAAACATTTACCCACAATCTAACCATATTGAAACGATAATATACCCTTTTCATTTTTATATCAATATAACCAGTTCTAGCATTCTAAACATCAAATATATCATAAATATGACAATATCAATCCGTAAACTTAGATATAAACACAGTTTATAAACCGGTCTAAATAACCCTAAAATAAACACCTTATTGAAACTAAATGAAACTTATACCTWTAAGAAGGGTACGGAGAATGGATTCCGAATATATAATTGTTGCCTCGATCCCYTTACTAACTTAACGCCAAATCTAGAGAGAAGACAGAGGATTTTAGAGAGAGAAAATTGAGAGAGAAAGAGAGAGAATGGGAGAGAAAATGAGAGAGAGAGAGAGAGGGAGAGAGTTGAGAGTATGGCGGCATATGCATAATATATATATATATATATTGATTTTTTTTTTCAACACACCGCCTCATATATATATATATATATATATAATATATAATATATATATATATAATATATATATATATAGTTTAACTATTTGACGGTTTTTACCCTTCAAGTTAAATTTCCAACTTTACGTCAATATAGGTATAAATACATTTTGACGTAAAACTAGTCTAGGGTACAAATTGGTTAAGCATAGGGTACAAATATATTATGCATAATTCTACCAAAATTCTCTTTACCCAATTTGTACGAGTTAACGAAACACGGATATTATAAGTTCGTTGAACGTTCGATTCGTTTACAGCCCTAAATGTAATTATAAGTTGTATTTTTTATTACTAAACCATCCATAATTATCTTAAAAGAGTGACTCACATTGAATCTCATGTGTAACACCTCATGCCATATTTGCATAAAACATACATATTTCATATAACATAAATACAAATAGTACACACCGGTCCCAAATATACACATCGTTACTTGCAAAAGTAGCTATAAACTTTTTCTCACAAATTACATGATTTGAATATAACAAATTCACAACTCATGTATTTCACAGCTTCCACAAAAATTCACGTCCATCAAATAACATATGTAAAATTATAACACTTTCAACTCATATCTTCCCCTTCGCTTTACCTTCTAGATGGGTCCGACCTATAATTCATATTTTTTTTTAAACAAAACAAGGGTTAGACCATAAGGTATAATGAGTAATCCATTGATAGCTATTACAGGGTGAAAATCATTAAAACAATTTTTAGAAAAACCAATGGTTGAAAAGTCAACATATGAACAATAATTATCGCATCAAACCTCAAATTGTCGCACCCTAGTCCCTACAGATGAGACAACCAATTCATCACATCACAAGGATAAGATAACCCCATCTCATGGCATCAAGCATGGGAGATAAACACCCTTGTCTCATCAAGCACATGTGATAAACCCCCTTACATGTGATAAACCCCCTTGTCGCATCAAACACATGAGATAAACACACTTGTCGTACCAAACATATGCGATAAACCTCACTTTTCACACCACACTGATGCGGTAACTCATTTCATCGTATCACATTGATGCGATCAATTTAACTCATCGCATCATAGTAATGCGATAACATAAACTCATCGCATCAAATGAAGTTTTTATGTGATCTCTATCTACCAAAAATTTTATTTCTGGTTCTGGCGAACAAATAATCATTGAGCCCTCCTCTTTCCGGACTTGATAAGTCGATCCATCTACACGTCTTGCTTTTACTGCTATACCCGGAGTTACTACAAAAACCTAAATATGCTAACAAATAGCAAATAGTTGTGTCCGAAAACACCCAAATTCTAAACCTATGTGGTTTCTTATTAAAAGCATTTCAAATGAAGCTTTTGAAAAAAAAAACTCACTTTGAACAAAATTAGATAGTAGACTTAAACCAACGACAAATTTCATATAAGAACACGAAATTCTTCTTCTTCTGCTTGCTCGACCCAGGGACCAAAATAATATATTTCTTTCTTCTTATCTTTTATTTCTTTTCCCAAAAAAGGGAAATAAATCACATGTACACACACATATAAAGGGGCCTAATCAAATGAGAACTGTTTAGTTTGTGATAACCATGAGATACAACTGTTGTCCGTACTTTCAACTAGATTTATATATCTTTAATTAAATTTAACTACCTTCAACTACATTAATTTATCTCTATTTAAAAATTTATCTTTACTTTTAGGTCACTTTCTTACGTTTCTCACATTAACTTTTCTTGTAATTGAAAACCACCTATATATATATATATATATATATGAGCCTA